AGTTTTCATCTTTGTTTCATTGTTTAGCATATGTCCATTTTCAAAGTGTTCGTCGTCGTCTTGGAAACCGACTTGGTAGCGGTCATTGACTTTCCTGGCAAATGCTTTAAAGTCCCTGTCATCCGAAGATGAATCTCTGTTCCCCAAAAAGTCATCGGCGAGACGATGTCCATTTGTGAATTTCCTTGAAAACATTGCATCACCATCGTCCATGTCAGTCGAAACGTGTTTTCGGTTGTGGCCAAGCTGTGGAACAAGGAAGGTATGTGAGATTTAGGAATATTTATATTATGTATTTAACAATCATGCCTTTGCATGTATGACAACTTTTGGCATGTATTGTATGTATATTATGCACATAAAGTGATACTTGCACTTTTCATATCTTTCTCCTATGTTGCAATGCTCTTCACTATCATTTTTTCCTCCCATGAAAACATAAACAGTACTACCCATCTCTATTTGATATATATATCTGTATATATATTCATTCATATGAATATATATGTGCATATATATATCTGTGTGTGTGTTTGTGCGTGCTAGTGTATGTACGTGTGTGTGTGTGTGTGTGCATATATTCATGTATGTATATATATAAACATACATGTATATATACTGAATGAGGAAAACACTCTACCGTGTTGATACTATGGTAGAAAAACCCACAATGTAAAAAACTAGATTTATTGAAAATGAAAGTGAGACTACAGTTTCGGAATCCACCTGGATTCCATCCTCAGGTCTGAGGATGGAATCCAGGTGGATTCCGAAACTGTAGTCCCACTTTCATTTTCAATAAATCTAGTTTTTTACATTGTGGGTTTTTCTACCATGTATATATACTGTATGTATATGTATTCACATATATATATTCATATATATTTGCATGCACGCGCTTGTGCGTACGTGCATGTGAACACATACAGAATTAAGTATAACCTACCCTCTTCGGAGCTAAGATTTTAAGCACACCGTCAGAAGACATGACTGACATGACAGCCTCGAGCTCAATGTCTCCAGGAACAACGAAGCGTCGAAGGAACCGCTTGCTGGACTTCGAACCGTCTTCATTCCTCTCCAAGTGACCTTCAACCACCAACTCTCTCTCGTTCACAGCCTTCACGCTGATCTCTCCAACGTCCATAAAGTCTTGGACATCAATGACGAACTGAAATAAATAGATAAATAAATAAATAAATAAAATAAATAAAAAGAATACATGACAAAGTCGGTTTACATGATGAGTTCTCATAAATAATATTGCTTAGCAAAGTAACAAATGAAACTAGTTTATGTCTATACCTTATAATGCCGTTCATCTTCCGAAGACGTCACTGCCTGATTATCTTCCCTCATATTTCGTGCTCGTAGTTTTCTGTAGCAAGTCATCTCGTCACCGGAAGACGACTTCTCTCCCCATTTGTTCAGGATTTCCCTTACGGCTTTCTGGAAATCCTCCCTTGTGTCTCGGAAAAAGTAATCGGAGAAGAACAGTCCTTTCCTCGTCACTGGAAAAGACTTCAATGCGGAGCTACACTGAGAAACACTCGTGAAACGGGAGGACGTTCCCATACTTGTGTCTTCGGTGACGTTATATCTGTTGGTTTCTTCAGACTCCCTGTTATAGCCTCGTCCAAAGCGTCTCAGTCTATTGTCCTCGAAGTTGGAATCAAGTTTGGACCTCTCTGTCCCCGACGTGAAATTACGAGTTTCCTCTGACTGTAATGTCACATTCTTGTTCAATCTATCTTGATTTTCAGCCTTCGCCTCAAGCACATGCTTTTCAGCAGAAAGTGAAGGTGATTTTGAGTCAATAATTTCTTTTGTAATGTTGCATTTTGCCTCAGTCTTTTTAGTTGTATTTAGCTCGACATTTCCTTCCTGCAAAAATAATCATTTCATACTATATTTGTATAGTGTATATGATTTTCTTTTTTCTTTTCATAGGTGATATACTCCAAGTTGTCATTAACAACATATAATTGGAACATACCTTAAAGATCACAGTAACTGTGAGGATGCCATCTAATGACATAACAGAAGTGATATCAGTATATTGCGGAAGAGAGAAGCGGCGTCTGAAGGAGTGAAAGGTCTCGAATGAGGTTCCTTCGCTCTTCACCACACGTCCCTCAATGACTAACTCTTTCTCATCAACAACCTTTGCTTGTATATCTCCACTCATGAACTCATAAACGTCCATAATTATCTGGAAACAATAAGTAGTTTTTATATGCCAACCCGTTTTTTAAAGTGCTTAGTATTAAAAAATCATGCTAGTAATGATTTACTAATGCTATCGATGGTAATCAGTATATTGATAAAAAACAATGACAGTAGTATTAACTAACCTTTAGACAAGACTTGTCTGATGTAACGATAACAGCCTGATTCTCTTCCTTCAGATCGCGAGATCGAAGCTGCCTGTAGCGTTCCAGGATATCCGTGTAACAGAGGTTAATGTCGTTCTCAAAGTTTTCTTCATTGCACCTGCCCAACACCTGCCTGAGAGCGGCACTGAAGTCTCGCTGAGTGTCAAGGAAGAATGAGTCTTGGAAGAAGTTTCCTCTTTTGGTGATGAGCAACAGCTCTTCTGGCGAATCTCTGTGAACGCTTCTCATTCCTTTCAACGATTCACCAGTTTCTGTAGACTCTTCTGTACGTACGGTTTCAGTCATCTCTTTAAGTTTCAGCTGCCCAAGAGTATCGACGACTTCTTTTTCAGAGGTACAAGAATCTCCGGATGACTGAAGGGAATCTGTGCAACTCTCAGTTGCTGCCAACCGTTTCATTTTACTATCCAGCGTTTCCTCAGAAACTGGTTTGGACCTTTCTTGCACAGGTACAGCATCCTCAGTGACTTCGTCCAAAGTGCTTGAAGACGTTGAGTTCTGAGTTTCTGACGTATTCTGAGCCTCAGCAACAGCTTCCTGTGAATCTTTCACATAGAGAATGCCAACAGCTTCCTGGGAATCTTTAAGATCAAGAATTTCAACAACTTCTGAATCCATCAGATCAAGAATTTCAGCAGCTTCCTCTGAATCCTTTTGATGCAAAATTTCCGTAGATTCTTGGGAATCTTTAAGGTCAGAAATTTCTACAACTTCTGAGCCTTTCACTTCAAGAATGTTAATAGATTCATGTGAGTCTTTCACATCACGAATGTCAACAGATTGTTGTGAGTCTGTCAGACCAAGAATTTCAACAGGTGTACCTTTCACCTCAACAATGTCAGCAGACTCCTGTAGGTCTTGTACATCAAGAATGTCAACAGATTCGTGTGAGCTTTCCAGGTCAAGATTTTGAACAGCTGAGACTTTTGCATCAAGAATGTCAACAGATTCCTGTGAGTCTGTCAGATCAAGAATTTCAATAGCTGTGCCTTTCACCTCAACAATGTCAGCAGATTCCTGTAGGTCTTGTACATCAAGAATGTCAACAGATTCGTGTGAGTTTTTCAGGTCAAGATTTTCAACAGCTGAGCCTTTTGTATCAAGAATGTCAACAGATTCTTGTAAGTCTGTCAGATCAACAATTTCAACAGCTTCTGAACCTTTCACTTGAAGAATGTCAGCAGATTCCTGTGAGTCTTTCAGATCAAGTATTTCAACAGCTGAATCCTTTGCATCAAGAATGCTTTCAATTGCCTGTTGGGAGTCTTCAAGATGAAGGACTTCAACAGTTTCAGATTCGTTTTCTTCTTCGGGAATGACAGAAGGAAGAGAATCCTGGGAAGTCCCAAAGTCACGTGATTCAGAATTATCACCAAACGTTTCATTCAAGCCAATCGAACTTCGGCGACATAGGGAAGCTTCTGTAATTTCTGCAGACTCGGAGTAAGACACAGACGGTGATTCATCAGCCATCACTTCTTCAGTTACAATAGATTCTAGTGTGCCAATAGTCTCTTTGCTCTGATTTTGAGTTTCTACAATGCCGAAATCAGTATCATGACTCGATGTTGCTGCAGAATCAGTCGACAGAAGGAACATTTGAGCTGTCTCAGATTTCACTGAGTGACACATTTCTTCAGAGAGTGGAGTCCTTACATCTTCGAACTCAATGCTCGTATCTTCTGCCATAGAATCCATGCTGTCATATGTGGCTTTGCTTGCCTTTTCACATTCCTCATGGAGAGAGATTGTTTCATTAGTTGGGGATACCGAGCGTTGAACTTCAGAGGATTCTTGAACTTCCTCAGTGGAGTTGATCACTTTGTATTCCGATTCTTCTGGCTGTTAAACAATTCAGGTAATAGCTTGAATCTTATGGACACAGAGACATGAGTGTGTGTGTGTGTGTCGTGTATTTGCGTGTGTGTGTCGGGGGGAAGGGAGTACTTGTGAGTTGGTGTGAGTCATGTGTGTGCTATGCGCAGACAGTTTCATCTTTATAACATATAACATACGTCATATCTACAGATAATCATTAAATACCATTTTTGAAGCGATGATTGTGAGTATGCCATCAGAAGACATGATGCACGTGATGGTTGTCATGTCAATATACTCTGGCAACGAGAAGCAGCGTCGGAAGGAGCATGAGGACACGGATGAGCTTCCTTCTCTCTTCGCCACACGTCCTTCTACCACCACCTTCGTCTCGCCCACCACCTTCACCTTCAGATCCCTATTCAGGAAGTCTTGGACGTCCAACACGATCTGTAAAGAGAAAAATGTTAAACAATAAGCATAATGCTTACATATGAGTATCATATTTGAATGAATTGTAATTCACATAAAAACACACATGTAAGCAGTTGCATTTTAATTGGAAAACCATTGGTATTTAATTGATCTTGAAAAGACACTTAAATACATTGTATTACTCGGAGTGATTCATGCACTACTTACCTTGCAACTAGTGTTGTCGGACGTGACGATAGAGACTTGAGTTTCTTCCCTCAAATCACGGGATCGAAGCTGTCTGTAGTGGTTCAGAATATCGCTGTGACTAAGACTAAAGAAGTCCTCACTGTCTGCACTAACCCACTTCTTCAGGACCTCTCTGATGGCAGTGTAGAACTCTTGATGGACATCGAGGAAGAAAGAATCCTGAACGAAGCTTCCTCTTCGACTGATGGGTAAGATCTCTTCGCGCAGTTTGATGGCTTCTGTTGACTCAGATTCAGATTGCATGGAAGTTTGTTGTTCTTCAGAAACAAAGTCATCACAAGAGGCTTTCTCAGTGATTGTTGATTTGAATGTTTCAGTCAGTCGTTTGAGTTCATGATCCTGATTATTGGCATCGTTTCCATGTTCATTGACAGAAGCAGTTGTAGATTGATTTTGACAGATCTTGGGCTTTAAAACTTCCTTGGATTCAGCAGGAAATTCAAATTCTCTCTTCAGCTTTCTCATCTTGTTCTCGTACGTGTGTTTTTGTTCACACTCAAAGTCCTTCTGATCTACATTGACAAGATTCTCGTGAACGGAGATATTTTTCTCCGTCGTGGACGAGAGTGCCTTAGGTGTGAAGTCTTGAGCCGTTGATTCCTTCCTTTCCTCAGTCATGGATAAGTTAACGTACGTGTTTTGCTGTGGTTCTCCTGCCTGGATGAGATATAAGAGCGACGTTTTACTCACTTTATGCATATAAAGACTAACCTAATGATACATTCCAGTTTCATTAGCATGCCAGAGGTCTTTATATTTACCTTTTTATACATGATTCAGAAATGCAAACTTATAGGATCTATCAAGTTTCAGAAACACAAAGTTGATGTTGTTTACCGTTTTGGGAGCAGTTATTTTGAGGATACCATCTGAAGACATGACAGAAGTAATGTGTGTCATGTCAGTGCGGTGAGGTAGGGAAAAGCGGCGTCTGAAGGAGTGTGACGAGACGGATGAACTTCCTTCCTCCTTCTCTACGTGTCCTTCCACCACCAGCTCCTTCTCGTCCACGACTTTCACCTTGACGTCTCCGCGCATGAAGTCATACACGTCAAGCACGATCTATGAAGTTTTTCAGAACAATTTTTATCAGGAACTTAATGGAAAGAATAGCCATAGTAAAATGATAATAGTGATAATCTTAATAATAATAATAATAATTTTGACAGTGATAACATGATAACAATGATAATAAAAAATATGAAAAATCAAAAGAAAGAAAAAAGAACAAACAGAATGAATGGGATAATAATGAATTTTACAATAATATATGAAAACATACTAAGGTTTTCAGGAAAGAGCTGTATATGATGTAATTTGGCTCATCAACTAAAAGTAAAGCATTAAATGTATTATTATTATGTTTCATATAATTAATGGCCCACTTTCATTGAATACAGGTAAATAGATAAAGCATTAGTCAGTGGGAAATGCTGATACATAGATTGGGGACTGACCTTGAGGCTAGCACTGTCTGACGTGACGGAGAAGGCCTGGTCCTCTTCCCTCATGTCTCGAGATCGAAGCTGCCTGTAGCGGCTCAAGATGTCACTGTGACTGACATCGTCTGTCACCGTGAGATCGGAGTCATTGCATTTCTTCAAGATTTCCCTGACAGAGGCGTCGAAGCCTTGGCGTATGTCGGAGAAGAATGAGTCTTGGAAGAAGCTTCCTCTCTTCGTGATGGGCAAGGAGTCTTCTTGTTTATTCCCAAGAGTTTTCTTTGCTCCCAGCGAGTCGGAAATTCTTGTGGAAGCAAAATCTGTGATGACAGACGATTCCTTCTGTGATGATTGTTGGGTGTTGCTTGAGATATTGGAAGTTGCAGTTTGGGTCTTGTCCTCGTCGATATTCTCCTGAAAGCATCGTGCGTATTTGCGTTCCTCCTCTTGGGCTGTGTGGGATATTCCTTGGCCAGATGCTGTTTCCTCAAAAACTCCCGAGGTCGTCGAGGAAGTTGAGCTGTGAACTTCTGAAGCATTATGCGTTTCCTTGACACTAATGGGGATGACAGTAGTCTTCTGTTGTGTTTCACTCTCCTGTTGGTTAAGAGAGGCATATTATTTATGTGGATGCCTGCTACACTTTGGATTCATTTATATAAAATCTTCATAAGGCATTAGTGAAGTACAAGAGAAGCTAGAATACCTTCTTGGAGGCAGTGATTGTCAGGATGCCATCTGACGACATGACAGACGTGATGGACGTTATGTCAATGGAGTCAGGCAAGGAAAAGGTGCGTGTGAAGGTGTGCGAGGACCTGGCCGACTGGGCCTCCACCAACAGCTCCTTCTCGCCCATCAACTTCACCTTCACATCTCCATCCACAAAGTCATGCATATCCACCAATATCTATGAAATGATTCACCATATTAATATTCATAACCAAAGTTTCTCAGTCGCCCATGAAACGTAAGAATGATTTATATCTTACACATGTAGATAAATTGAATAAGAGTGTGCAGTCTTCATGCAACTTACTTTATAACTAATATTATCTGAGGTAACTGTAACGGCCTGGTTATCACTCCACAGGTTCCGCGATCGGAGCTGTCTGTAGCGGGCCAGTCTGTCGCTGCGGTGGAAGTCGTCATCGTCCCAGAAATCCGCCAGCTGGTGATCGGCGTCATTCCAGCCATTGAGGACCTTCCTGATGGAGGCATCGAAGTCGCGATGTGTATCGGAGAAGAAGGAGTCCTGGGAGAAGCCTCCTCTTCGAGTGATGGGCAAGGATGTGTCCCACGAACCGTAGTCAAACCCAGAGGAATCAGCTGTTCTTTTGAAACCAAGATCACACGAACAGCTTTCTTTTCGTGTAGAAGACAAGTGTTCTGAGTCTGTTTGTTTTCGTGTTTCGCTGACTTTTTCATGATAATTCGAAGCGGAAGTTTGATTGATTGCTTTTTCCTTTGTCATTTCTGTTTTCTGTGAAACAAAATCAGATTTATTTTTAATATCAATATAATGTTGGGTTCTTTACTCATGCAGCATTCCTTTATTTATATACTCACTGTTTACAAGAAAATAATTGACTCACTATTTTTGGCGCAGTGACTGTGAGGATACCATCTGCAGACATGACGGACGTTATCGCTGTCATGTCTGCGTGTTGAGGCAAAGAGAAGTAGCGTCTGAAGGAGTGTGACGAGACGGACGAGCTTCCTTCCTCCTTCTCCACGTATCCTTCCACTAACAACTCCTCCTCGTCCAACACTTTCACTTTCACATCTCCACACATGAAGTCATGCACATCCAGCACAATCTGGGAGATAGAATCTATGTTACAGCTTTCGTTATTTGTGGACTTATTCTGCTATTTTGTCATGTTTAATAGACAATTTAAAAACAGCGATTGTTATACCGACTCACCTTATGACTTGTGTTGTCAGATGTAACTGTGACAGCCTGGTTCTCTTCATTTAGATTACGAGATCGAAGCTGTCTGTAACGGTCCATAATATCATCCCGGCGGAAGTCTTTCACTTTCAGGTCTTCGTCACTCCATCTGGCCAACACCTCCCTGACGGAGGAGTCAAAATCCTTGTGTATGTCAGAGAAAAACGAGTCTTGGAAGAAGCTTCCTCTGCGACTGATAGGAAGGATCACATCCCATGACCTGCTGCTTGACACTGCCTGCCGAGAGCATTTTGCAGCAGGTGTGGAGGACACTTTCACGTAGGACTTTTCCATTTGAATGGGCGCCATTTTCAAAATACGAATATATATACACTTGTGCTATGACTTGAGAGGAGATCGTTGGAGGTGCACGTGCGCTTGTAAACTGGAGAGACTTGGTTGAACTGCAAACATATATACTGTCTCTGACGAGTGCTAGCTTGTGACGTGGCAATGGCGTCACTTGGCATGAACAGCTTTTGCGCGGCTGCCAAAGCCCAGAGATGTGAGTAATCATCTGTGACTCAGGTCCAGTATCAGAGTTGGCTTCAGTGCGATTAACGTTGTATTGCGTGGGAATATTGCTTAATGCGTCGGAGGATATTTCGGGAAGTTTTGCAATACTATTTCTCGAAAAAGAGTATTTTTGATTTCAACTAAGGAACCTTTTACCTAGAATCGGTTACAAGTAAACACATCCATGTACGCGCGATAGATATGTCAACACACACACACACATACATATATATAAATATACATATATGTGTGGTTGTGTTTGTGTTTGTATGTGTATGTGAGAAAAAAGTATATATATGTATGTATACATATATGTATATTCATATATAGATCGTTATATATATATATAGCTGGAATTGGTTACAAGTACACACATCCATGTACGCGCGATAGATAAATAGATATATCAGCACACACACGCACACACATACATACATATATACACATATACATATATATGTGTGAGAAAAAAAAAAATATGTATATATATATATTCATATATAGATCTTTATATGTATATACACATACATACATACACACACACACACACACACACATATATATATATATATATATATATATACATATATATATACATATTTACATATATACATATATGTATATATATGCACAATTATATATATATATATATATATATATATATATATATATATATATATTTATTTATATATACATATATGTACATACATGTGTGTATATATATATGTGTGTGTGTGTGTGTGCGTATATGTGTGTGTGTGTGCATACATCTCTATAGATATACATATATGTACATATATATGTATATGTATATATATATACATACATAAATATATACACATATACATATATATGTGTGTGAGAAAAAAAAATTATATATATATATATATATATATATATATATATTCATATATAGATCATTATATATACATATACATACATATACATATATGTACATACATGCGTATATATATATATATATATATATATATATATATACGTGTGTGTGTGTGTGTGTGCGGGTGTGTGTGGGTGTGGGTGTGGGTGTGGGTGTGTGTGTGTGTGTGCGTGTGTGTGTGTGTGTGTGTATGTGCATACACATATATATATGTACATATATATGTATATGTATATATATATACAAATATTATTATCATATTTATATATATACATATATATACATATATATATAGACTATATATATATATACTTATGACTAGTAGTAGTAGTAACAATGAGATTATTAGAGCAAACCAGTGTGTGGTTTGGGGGCATGTGTGCCTTTGTGCATAGATGTGCAAATGCGTGCATGTGAACACCTGTGTGCGTGCATATAACGGCCCTTGTCTTTTTCATTGGGGATAATGATGTGGAATAATAATAACAATTTATTGTTGCTAGTGTCAACTGGCTTGGGGGGGGGGTTGACCCCCCCACAAGAATGTGTTTGTCTTCCTAAAAGTCTAGCTTACCCCCCTTAAAGAAAATTTTCTTTTCTATTACTATTTATACCTATAAAGCTTTAAAATGCTACTAGAATTACTCCTTTTTCTAAATATTTGTTCGCTTCGCTTGGCAACTCCCTTCTGACCCCCCCCCCCCCAAAAAAAAAGGCTGAAATTACGACCCTGGTTGCTGCCTTGTTTGTGGAGTTGTTTACCTCAGTTTTGCAGAGGTCGCCACTGAGAGAAAATGATTATGACTATGTAAAACGAGAGTTAAATCATGCCATCCTCTTGGCTGAACACCATGCCATATGTGACATCTTTACTCTGTTACGCAGCTAACAAGTTACCAGATAGAAGTCATCTCAGTTCAGAAAGCCTCCCTTTATTTATAGACGAAATGTGGGCAACGCGAGAACTTAGGTTAATTCATCCTTACTGTCAGTAATGATCTTCCTGTAACTGCTGATGGCAATGATGGGGGAATCAGTCATTTTCAGACCTGGCAAATTACTTCATCTTTCTTTTCCCTGTGTACTTTTTCATGGTCTTTTCAATTATATAAATCTTACAACATTAAGACAATACCTATCTGAAAGTAGGGTCAGTGCAATTATAAACAGAGTAAGTTAACATTTTATTTATATATACAAATACACCTTTACCTCAAAATAAAATATGAAGGTATTTATAGCAAGGAATGTGATATAAAAATCAACACTTTTTCATACAGAAAACTTATGTAAACTTATGACAGCTATGAAAATAAGATCTACTGCACATATAAGGGACCTCGTCCGCAGTAAAATGAATGTGCATATATAAAAAAATAATCACTTATTGAGCACGAAAAAGCATTTATAAACCTGTGTAGGAATTCTACTCTAATATTGCTTCGCACAGGAGCGGCGGTAGCGGGACCGAGAGCCAGTGCTGAAGCTCCGAGAGCTGGGGCCTTCCAGATCCGCGAGGGAGTCCTTCACTTTCTTGTCCTCCCACCTGCCAGCCCTGTCACCGTAGGACTTCCTCTCACTGGAAAGTCCCCTTGCACTAGTCCTGTACCCGCATGCTCTCTTCTTGGAGATGATTGTCAGGATTCCGTCCGAGGACAACACGCAGCTGATGGCGTCTCGGTCGACGAGCTCAGGCAACGCAAAGCGACGCTCGAAGCTCACTCGGGACACTCTGCTTCCGTCCTGCTTCTCTGCTTGACCCTCGACCAGCAGTTCTTTGCCCTTCACCAGCTGCACTGTCACGTCTCCCTTAATGAAATCAAAAACGTCCATCACAATCTGAAAAGGAAAAAAACATTTGATTACGAAACTACCTATTCACTCTTCCCAGAAATAATCATTTATAATGTGATATGAAATTGGTTTACGTGAAAAAGCAGTTTTACACCCACCTTGTGTGACTCTTGATCGTCAATGATGCCAACAGCCTGAGTTTCCAACTTGAGTTTGCGCTGACGCAGACGTCTGTAGTTGTGCATGGCGTCACTTCGACAGGTCCATTCATTAGCCTTTTCCAGCACTTCTCTCACTGCTTGGCTGAAGCTGTCACGAACATTCACGAAGAAATAGTCTTCAGTGAATACACCCCTTCTGTCCACGTATAAAACCCTGGTTTCCGTTGAAAAGCTTGGAATGTCAAATTTAAAGTCCTTGTCAGTTTTCATCTTTGTCTCCTTGTTGAGCATATGTCCATTTTCAAATTCTTCGTCGTTATCTTGGAAAGTGACTTGGTAGCGATCATTGATTTGCCTGGCAAATGTCCTAAAATCCTCGTCATCCGAAGATGAATCTCTGTTCCCCAAAAAGTTATCGGTGAGACGATGCCCACTTGTGAATTTCCTTGAAAACATTGCATCACCATCGTCCATGTCAGTCGAAACGTGTTTTCGGTTGTGGCCATTCTGTGGAACAAGGAAGGTATGTGAGATTTAGGAATATTTATATTATGTATTTAACAATCACGCCTTTGCATGTATGACAGCTTTTGGCGTGTATTGTATGTATATTATGCACATAAGAGACACTTGCGATTTTCATATCTTTCTCTTATGTTTGCACTGCTCTTCACTATCAGTTTTTTTTTTCCTCCCATACATGAAAACAGCACTACCCATCTCTATATGACATATATATCTGTATATATATTAATTCATATATATATACACATATGTGTGTGTGCATGTGTATGTGTGTGTACATATATTCATATATGTAAATGTTACAGGCATGTA